CCTAAGGGTCTATTCATGTTTTCCCCCCATCTTTTTCTCTTTGCTGTTCAGATTTAGTTTTTTCTATTGTTCCAGCTTTATGTTCACTGATTCTTTCCTCTCTTCTCTAAATTCTATTTTTGACACAATCCACTCTATATTTTATTTAGGCTCCACTTTATATCTTTTATTTCTTTGTTCTTCCTGTTTTTTAAATGTCCTGTCAAGTGTATTTGAAGTGTTTGCCATAAATTTTTATCATTGCTGCTTTAAAATCTTTGTCAGTTAACTCTACATCTCTGACATCTCACGGTGGACATCTACTGACATTTTTCATTCAGTTTTCGACATTTACCTTATTTTTAGTATGACAAATGGTTTTCAAATGAAATCTGGACTTTTTCATACTATGCTACGTTTCTCTATATCTAATTTAACTATTTGGTTTTAACTCATTTCCCCTGACACCATTCTGGTAGGGGAGAAGTATTCCTACCTTACTGCTGCCAGATAGACGTACAGATTCCTCACTTGGCCTGTTTTGACACTAGATGAGAGGCAGGGGCTCTTCATTATGGCTGAGCAATGATAAAGTCTTGACTCTTTAGTGGGACTACCCAGTTCTATAGCTAGAAGGCCAATAATTTCAGCTGGTTGCTCCTAACTAGATAGACACAGAAAGAAATGAACTAAAGAATAAAATGGCTAGTTTTCAAGAAATGTAAAAAGTCTAGCGTCTAGGACTAGTTCAGTTGGAAAACAAAACATTCTCATTTTTAGTCTCTCCAAGTAAAATGCAGTCTGTTGGTATACATATAATCATGAGTGTAAATAGAAGATCCTTTATACAGACTGCTGAAAGAATTCAAGTAATAATTACTAGACCTTATCAGTTAGACAGAAGGTATTTCAGGATTTTAAAATAATGGTCTTACAGAAATATTTACTCAATGTAAAAATAAGTCTATGTACAGAGAAGCATAGCTTGAAAACAATTGCGAGTTGTTACTTTTAGAGTATAATCTAATAGACTATAATCTAATACATAGGAAACACATGTTTTAGTAAGTTGTATAAATAAAGGGGCTATCAATGTGGTCTTTAAAGGACTGAGAGTATTTGAGTTTGCAAAAATATCTCTGGATTCCTAACTTTTATTGGCAGAAAGCAGGTTGAGAAATCCAGTAAGATGCCAACATGAGCTATTTCTAATATATTCAGTGGGTGATGGGGATATGCATTGCCCAGAATCCAGAGCTAAAAGTCATAAAACATAATGAACTATGGAATCACTTGTAGGGAGGTGAGCTGGGCCAGAATCAAGAAATATTCCCTTACCTAGGAGTAGAGGTATCTGGCAACTATCCCATGCCGAATATCAGGATTGCTAGGAACTAATGACGGCTTTGTGCTGCTATTTCTTCCTCCTTTTGAATGGTGTGTAGATGGGATATTTCTTTCCCTATTAACCATTGAATATTTGGTATTTTAGGGACAGGTAACTTGTCTTTTTACTTTATGAATTTCCAAATCAAGAGGATCTGCCACATCTGCACCCTTGTAGATCGTGTGATCCTTAATTTAAGAGTGTGAAAGCATGACTGGATGAGAATTAAGACATTCTGGGATAGGTGTGATTGTATTTTGCATGTGAGGAGGGATATGAATAACTGTCATCAGAGAGTAAATTGTGGTAATTGTAAAAATGGCTGAAATTCTGCAAAAATAACTGTACTCCCTCTATCCAGGTCCTTTGCAATATACTTTCAGTTTCTCCCAAAAAGAGGTGAAATCTATTTTTTCTTGAGTCCAAGCTGGCTTTTGTTACTTGCTTAGCTAATAGGATGTGCTGGAAGTGATAATAAGCAAGCGACAAGTCCATGCCTGGCTCTTTCTCACTTTCTTAGAATCCTGCCACTTTCTCCGTGAGAACAAACCCAGACCAGTCTGCTGGATGGTGATGGATATACACCTATTGCCTATTGCCTTAACTGACAGACAGATATGTAAGTGAGATCATAATAGACAAATCACCTCTTATACATGCTGCCAGATAACTATAGGAATCAGCCAAGATCAGTTTACATGGGCCCAGATCAACAGAACAACTCAGCTAACCACTAGACTCATGAAGCAATGATAAATACTATTTTTATAAACCACCAACTATTAGGTTGGTTTGTTATACAGTGTGTTCTGATTACTGACAACAGATTTTATGTTTGGAGAACTGGAATAGCTGTCCAACTGACCTCCCATGACTCCATTCTTATTCATTTTCAATTTTCCATATTGCTATCACAGTGATCTTTTCTTAAGTGTAGAAATGATCATGAATTTCCCTATATAAAATTCTTAAGTGGTCCCCCAATTCTTTCACGGTTAGGTTATGGTTAAAGTGTCATATAATAATCTAGTCTTATCCAACACTACTTCATCTCTTTTTATAGTCCCTTTGTACATAAATTTGAAGATTTTTGAATTCTGATGGATAGGGAGTGGGACCTAGGTGTGGTTATTTTAAAATATGTCCAGATAAGTTTTAACACTCCTCCTTTCAAAATGTAGAGACTGATTATCCTCCCCTTGAATGTAGTCCAGATTTATTGACTAGCTTTTAATTAGTTACCCTCCTTCCCAGCCCAATGTAACCATTAATCTGCTTTCTGACTTAAGATATGCTATTTCCAGATCCCTCATATAAATGGACTCATATGATAAGTGGTCTATTATGATTAACATCTTCACTTAGAATAATGTTTTCGAAGTTAGTCCATAGTGTTCCATGTATCAGTACTTCATTCCCTTTTATTACTGAATAACATTCTATTGGGTGGCTATGTCACAATTTATTTATCCATTCATCAGCTAATGAACATTGTGGTGTTTATACTTTCAAGCTATTATGAATAACGCTACCATGAACATTTGTAAGCAAGTTGTAAACAAGTTGATGTATGAATATATGTCTTCATTTCTCTTGAGTAAATAAGTAGAGTAGAATTTCTAGGTCATATGGTAAATCTATGTAACATTTTGGAAAACTATTAACTCATTTACTAGAGATATTACACCTTTCCTATCAGCCAAACAAGAAGGTTCCAACATTTCTACATCACCACTGATAGTTACTATCTGTATTTATTTTTATAGACATTTGAATAGATGAGAAATGATTTCGCTTATGGTTCTGATCTGCATTTTTCTGACATATAGTGATGTTTTTCAATATGTGTATATTACTTTAATATGTATCTTCCATAAAATATCTATCCAGATCCTCTGAGCATTTTAAAAATTGTGCTATTCTTGTTTTTACTATGAGGGAAAAACTCTTCCTATACTCTAGCACACATTCCTTATCATATAGGTGATTTTAAAATATTTTCTTCCATATTGTGGTTGTTTTTTCACTTTTTATTAGTGTCCTTCAAATCACCAAAAGTTTTTTATTTAGGTGAAGTTCAATTTGTTCATTTTTAATGTTGACTCTTGTGTTCTTGGTGTCATTTACAAGAAAGTTCTGGCTAATGCAAAGTCATGAAGACTCCCCCCTATTTTTTTCTGCTAAGAATTTCATAATTTTAACTCATACATTTAGATTTCGGAATCATTTTCAGTTATTTGTTATGTACACTATAAGGAACAGATCCAATTTCATTTTTTTTGCATGTGACGATCAATTTTTCACACTCTTTTAATAGTGGATAAAGTACAGTGTATCAAGTATAGTCAACTAAATCATTGCATTTGAGAATTCAAATGCTGAAGATAATCCACAAGGTCTTTATAGAGAGAGATTTGTATTCTGTTGATGCATGTGTTTAAGTCATATGTTACAAGGACAGTAAAAAGGGGTGTCATTTAGCTATTAAGACTCACCCCCAAAACTAAGCTTGCAAATCCCTAAATACCTTTACTCTCTAATCTTGTTTTACCAGGCATTTGGGGGACAAAACTATACATCAGAGATGCACTGAAGCCTATTCCTCTCAATGTTGAATTTTGACACAGAAACTTATTAACATGAGAAAACAAGCAAACAAACAACAACAAAAAAACCCATTTAATGGGATCGCTCAAAGAACATCAGAAAGATTTGATTCTAATCCAACAAAGAATTTTTTTAAATTTTTTTCCCCTCATTTCTTACTTGGTCCCCATAGCAACTCACGTTTAAGGTCTTCTGTCTCCCACCCCACCCCCATTCTCTATCATTCTGTAAATCATCTTACCATTTAGTAAACAAGTTACATATTTGTGGCCCATACACCAAATTTGGTTAATACATACATTTAATTTAATACAATGTTTTAAACATAAATCTAGTAAGTTGTTAACACTTCAATTTGAAATGACAAAAAAAAGCTGTACCTAATTTATCTTGAAAAATTTGAAGGTTTTGCATAAAGTTACCTTGATTTTACGACTAATGAGTAGTGCCTGACTCCTCCAAATATGACATCTCCCTCTAATTTGCCAGTCTTTATGTCTCCTACTATACCACATATGATCAGTTTTACTGTTTATGATATAGATCTGGCCTCTTTAGAGATAGGAATCTGTGACTTCTTAATGTTGTCCTTCCCAATATAAATTAAACCTTTCTAAGATTTCTATCAATAGTGCACTTTTTAGCTGTTACTTGGAGTAATGTAACGAAGTTCTGATGGCCCCCTTTCTCTGAGTCCCTAAAGAAGTGTCAAGAGTCAGAGATGAGCTGTAGCCTTTTGGGCAATGTAAGTATATTAAAATCCTTGTGGAGGTTCTTATTTTTTAGAAAGGAGGAGCAAACTGAAACAATCCGGTACAATAACTTTGTATATGTAAGACCTCTTTGCAGGGAAGGAGAGCCAGGAACTAAGAGGGAATAAAGGATGGAAGTGCTGGGAAGTCTGTGACCACAATTAGTAATTTACTACATGGGTCTTCTTGGAAAAAGAAGAGATTGAAAGAGAAAATAGATATTACAGGAATATCAGTGGGGCCTATGAGAGAGAATTGTCGTGTCAATGACTTACCATGAATGACTTAAAAACTCCAGCGATGTGTAGACATGTGTTACTTTCTTTGGAAGCTGCAAGTTGTGAAAATCCTTTACTGTGGGGGAAAAAAGTATGCTTATTTCAGTCCATTTCTTTACTCTGCCTTTTAGATCTTTATTTGTATTTCTCAAAACACTCAATTATCTTAGAGATATTGAGGCAATTTTGTAGAATTTAATGTTCTCTGCAATTAATTTTCTTTCTGAAATAAGAACTCCCCATCCCCTTCTATAGTGATAGATTCAATTAAAAGGTTAGTCTAGACCACAAAAATCAAAAGCTGTATTTGGAATACAAGTATATGTTTGAGCCTTGGTGGTGCATTTCACTAATCCTATACCTAAGAAGGGAAAGTAATAAGAAGTATGTGATTTACAAAATAAATGAAGGTTATTGGACTAAATAAGATTATATATTATTATATACTTAGCTTCTGTTTCTTTACAATCAGTTATTTTTAGAAAGCAATAGATCTACTTAGTAATAGTAATTAATTTTTGATTGATTTCACTATTATGATATCTGGTGAAATAAAAAATTTAGCTTACAGTAGGTAAACATATTACACCTCTAGGAAGTCACTAGTATTATACTAAAATTATGTATTATTATTTGTGTTCTCTCATTTGTGTTCTTTCTCCTAGGCTACTTAACATTTGATATGTGGAGCAAATAAAACAGTATGTGTGCTTAAGCACACATATATATAGACTCAGAACAGTTAACTTAGTAAGTGCTTAATTTGATTCCTGGTCTAGAGTTAGGACATAATTTTTATAATCCTCAAAAATATTCTTTCCCACATTCTTTACAAGTGCATCACAAGCACTTCCCTGTCTTTAATATACATTTGGCCAATTCTTATCCCTACACAACTGGTCACCAATGATTGTTGGACACCTATGATGTACCTATTGTTCAAACTGTTTTTGCTTAAAAAAAAAAAACCAACAAAAACAAAACAAAAAATAGCGAGTCCTGTTGGCTGCAAACACCACCCACAACTCTGGGAAGCAAGTAATGCCCTGGCCCCATCTTCTCTCACCTAGTCCATGTGCCCTTCTTCCAGCTACCTACAGAGATGCATTTCACTTCACATTGTTAAAAGAAAACGAGCTCAAAACCGGGGGCACGTGAGCTAAGCCGACCAAAACATACCTAATTTGACTGTGGCTTCAACCTACCCCACAAATGTAGTCTTAACTAGTCAATGTGGAAATTTTCTGATCAGCACTAGTGAAGTAATCTTTTCATTCCTCAAAGGAAGATGAAATAATCTACAAGATCGAGTTTCCAGTCTCCATAGGTGGGTTTCTTAGGCCTCAAATAATTCCCGCTTCCCTTGCCCTTTTTCTACCTATAAAAACCATTTATTTTTGCTCTGCTTTATGGACCTCACTTCTACTTGCTAAATGGAATACATCTAGCGGCCCCATACACAAACTGTTTAATGGGTTGGATTCTGAAAATAAAATTGGTTGCATTTTTGTTACTTAACATCTAACTAAACATTCCCTAGGAACCTAGACATCTTCGTCCATCTACAAAGTAAACCCCCGGGTTTACTTTGTAAACCTGGAGACTCCCTCATCCAGGACATGCAGACTTCCCACAGGTTTCTCTACGGAGCAAATGACTTCTATCTTTGGGATTTGTTTCCCCTTGAAGCTGAAAGGACGAGAAGAAGCCTCACCCGAAAGGTGAGCCTACTCAAACGGGAACATGGTGTACTCAACGCTCCACAGAATTACTGGACAGCGACCTTCCCCTGTGGCTCGGAGTCCTGGGGTCTTTGCCTCTCCCCTCCCCTCCTAGAGCGCTCTCTTTCCCAGACTTCCGTTCGAACTTCCCGGTCGGGGCAGATCCCACCAATCACAAGCGTCCTTGCTCGGGCCACGCCCCCTTGGCCCCCTTTGGGAACGCCAGTCGGATGTCGCGCACACCGCCCGCTTCTCTTACGCACGCTGCGTGAGGACGTCGGTCTGGGCGCCATCGTCGCCCCCGAGCCGACTCCGGCGGGGGCCGCTCCCGCCGACGGTTGGGCGGCCTACCGAAGTCCCTCCCTAGGACCTCCCCACCCCACCCCCTCGGACCGCTCCCTCGCGGCGACCCATGTGGGGGTTCGGGCTCCTGCGGTCGCCGCCGCTGCTGCTCCTGCTGCCGCACCTCAGAATCGGAATGGCCGCGTCCTGCCCTCAGGCCGGAGTCATGAACCTGGGCGGCAGCGGCGGGGCGCACAGCTCCCCTCGGCCGAAGGGCGCCGGCAGCAGTGCCTGAAGCTGCCCGCCGTGCCGGGAGCCGACCCGCAGCGCAGCAACGATTTGCTCCTGCTGGCGGCGACGGGGGAGGGACCCGAGCGGCGGAACCTCCCTGGGGGCCGGCTGAAGGAGGAGCCGCCACCCCAACATCACGTTCTCTATTTCCCCGGGGACGTGCAGGTAACCTGGGGCCGGCCTGGGCACCTGTTCCTTCTTCCTGTGCCTGTGGGTGTTACCTAGATTGTTCCCTCGGAGCTGGCGCCGGGCTCCTCGCCTCGCTGGAACACACCCACACGCGCTCCCGGGGGTGGCGGTTCCGTTACTCCACAGAATCCCAAACCGCCTCTTGCACACCCCTGGTCCCCTCGTCATGGGGCGCCAGAGACAGGATGTCCTTGGAGGGTTACGACCTCGAAAGAGTCCGTTCCCCGCCCTAGGCTTCGAGGGAGTGGATTTTGAGGCGGAGAAGGGCTGAGACACAGAATGTGTGTTTTTTTCCCCTCTGGCTTGGCTTCTCAGGAGAGAAGAAAAGAGGGGAGGAGAGAGGGGGGACAGGGAGGTTTTTAGATTAACTCAGCACATAGTGTTCAGAAACGCTGGCAGTAATTAAAAAGCAAACAAGTTAACAACCAGAATCACTATAAAGGTTTGACATTCTCAGTAACTAAGAAAGGAAGGGTGGGTGGAAGAAAAGGGAGAGTAATTACTAAGAGTGTCAGTTTCCTGAGACTCGCCTAAATTCTGTACTCGTGTGTCTGTGATTTTTATCCTTATTATTAATTTTATAGCTGCTGGCAAATACCTATGTATGTGTACCCCCCGGAAAGCCCTATCTTAATCAGGAACTGGGTTCTCTGTTATGGTCGCCACACTCTGTATGTGGCTCTTTAAGTTAGAATTAAATAAAATTTAATAGAATTAAAAATCCAGTCCCCCAGTTGCACTCGCTGCATTTCCAGTGTCTGTAGATACGAAATATTTGTGCATACTGTAGTAGCCAAATACAGAACGTTTTCATCATTACAGAGAGTTCTTTTGGGTAGTGCAGGGGTAGACAGGTAAAATTAGAATATAGCTAGCCATTTTTCTTTAACCATGAAATAGTAGTTTATTGATAATGATGCTTTTTCTGTTTATGCCCTTTTGCCAACTAATGGCCTGGCATTGCCAATAGTGATTTCAGAGGTTTGTGGACCAGCTGCTTTGTGCATCTATAGTAATGATGATGATAGTAACAACTAGCCTTTATTGATAAAATGTGCCAGCCAGATATATTATAGCGCAAGTCTTCAGATGAGTTCTAAAAAAGTGCCAATACAGTTAGAGTAATAGCTCCTATTAGCTGACATCATCCACTTCTTTATGTAGCCGGAAATGCCATTAGCTTTTTGGACAGTGATACACTGTTGATTTTTGCAGAGTGTGCTCTAAAAGCCCTAGATCCTTTAGAGAAGCAATAGTGTATAATGCATCAAAAAGCTTTGAGCCCAGATTGCCTAGGCTTGAGCCCTGATTCTGCACTATTTAAGCCATGAAATCTCTAAGCAACTGTTAAATTTTTCTGTATTCTAGCTACCTCAGCTATAAAATGGGAATAATAATTATAGAGTATCAATGAGAAATACGTGAATACCAAAGACTTACAGTCTCTTCTCATCTTTCTGGTTACATTTTTAATTATTGGGGTACCTTGGCATTCAGTTTTTGAACTTTTCCTCTACCTTCTTTTACTCCCTTAATGATCTCAGTCTTAAGGTTTATATAATACCTGCACTCTGACAACCTTCAACATTTGTGTATCTAACTTAGACATATTCCGAACCAACTGCACATGTGCTATTTCCCTTTGGATTTTTAATGTATATCACAGACCTGAAATCTTTGGTTCTTAGCCCCTTTAAGACCTCCTCTTCCTGCAGTTTTCTTCATCGGTTAATAGAAACTGTTCCTTTTTAATTGCTCGAGTTAGAAGCTTTGAAGTTATCCTTTAGTCACTCTCTTTTGCATACCTCATCTCTTAATCAATAAGGTGACTTCTAAATGTATCTAGAAGTGATCAGAATAGCCATTCTAAAATGTATGTCAAATCATACCACACCTCACCTCAAAACGCTTCAATAGCTTCCTTGTGGCTCAGATTAAAAGCCAGTCTCTTATCAACCTGCCTATCTGTAGCTTTTCTACTCTTACTTTTCCTGTTCCCTGTTCTGTTTTAGTTTGTGCTAGCCACGCCAACTTTTTTCGTGTTAGGTACACTTCATAAAAGCTTTGCAAATACTCCTTGCATCAGTCTTCCTGCCAATGATCTGTAGGATTCATTACCTAACCTGTTGCAAATCTTTACTCAAAGTTGCCTTCATAGGCAATCCTATCTAATAATCCTATGTATGCACAGAATTCCTGTGAACGTTTTTATTTTTAACCATTTCATTTACAGTATTAATTACTCATTTTTATTTTTGTCTGTCTTACACCACTGAAACGTAAACTTAATGTCTGTTTTGTTAACTGATAAATCTGTGAGGCTTAATCCAGACTAGCATGTAGTAGGTGTTCAAAAGATAACTTGTCTAATGAATGAATATATATAAGTTGCATAAGTATTTGATAAGTCTTGACTACTATTATATAGGAAATGATTTTAGACTCAGATTTCTTCATCTATATCTTGTGCTTCTTTTGAGCATAATGTTTATCCTTATGAAATCTACCCTGTATGATAGTGTACTGATCCTTTTGGAATTGATTCATAAGCATTTTAAAATCTTTCATTTTTAATTTGGATAAATACTAAATATAATAGGGTCAAACAGAACTTTGTAGAGTTCCAGTAGAAGCTTCACCTTATCTTAACACAGATTCGTATTTTGGTGTAACTTAGATCTAATTGTCTATGTAATTTTATTTATTTATTTTAAAATCTTTTTTTTTTAATGATTTATTTATTTATACAAGAAACTGGGTACAGTCAGAAGCGCGGGAGGGTGAGAGAATTCACCAGAGCCAGAGCGGGGAGCAGAGCAGGCAGAAGGACCGAAGTACACTGCTGAGGGGAGCAGCGGGCAGCAGGAGAGGTCTGCGTGTCATGTGGGACCCTCCTCTGGTGGCCGGGGAGCAGCCGGGAATCGAACCGGCTCTGCAGAGGCTGCGGGCAGCTTTGCAACCCAGCGCTCAACTGTTGCGTCACCGGGGAGGCCTGTCTATGTAATTTTAATTCCAAATTACCTTTACTTTCCTGTTCTTTTTGCACACATCTTTTGTTGCATGTCTTTTTTTGATTCTATGCTTGACCTTTTATCATTTTGAATTACTGGAAAGTTTGAGGACATCCTAATTCATATCTCTTTAGGTCCCTTATAATGTTTGTCTTATCAGTACTGATTTTAAGGGAGGACTAGGGTTTTTTTTAAATAGGTGCTTTCCATTTATCTCTTGAAAGCCTCAGGGCATAAAATTGTACTTAACTTTTTTTAAAATGTAAGCTTACAGCATGATGGATTTTGACAGCATGATTGGATTTTGATGTTATAATTATGTGAATATCACAACGATCACATTATACATTTCCATCACCTTAAAAGGTGCTTTGTGCCCCACTTTGGTTAGTCTCTTTTCCCCACCCAGGCAACCACTTATCTGCTTTCTTTCACTGTAGTTTTGCCTTTGCTAGAATTTCATTAATTCAGAATCATATAGTATATCTTCCTGTGTTTGGCTTCTTTCATTTAGCATAATACTTTGTACATTCATTTTTACTATTGTCTTTATCAGTAGTTTGTTCCTTTTTATTGCCATGTAGTTTTCTATATATCGAAATGTGATTTGTTTACACATTCAGTAATTCATGAAGACTTGGATCATTTCCACTTTTAGCTCTTAAAATTTTTTGCTTTCCTAAAGGCTAGAATATATAGATGACTATGCCCTAAGTGTGTATCTTCAGGAGTAGAAGACACATTTCTCCCGTGTGCCTCTCCTTTACCACAAACACTCCTATCATACTCACAACATTTCTGACACCATATGTGTGAGGGGTTTTCCTCCACAGCAGATAATTCTCTTTTATACCTCTATCCTATAATTCGATTCAGTTCTAACACTATCTGAAGTTAGTGTCAGATCAGACAAGTTAAGAGCTAAGTCCCACAGCACTACTGCCCTAACCCCACTTCAGATGTCAGTCCCAAGTCTCAGGTTGTTAAATATACTTTTCACTAAATGGTTGTAAATCAGGGTTCCCGGGGCCTCCTCTCAGGTTCTATTAATCTCTTAGAGGCAGCTTACCGAATTTAGAAAAATCCATTTAGTTACTGTTTACAGGGTCAGTCTAAAAGTGAATCAGACTTGGGCCCTGAGAGCCAGACCACAAGGTGCCTTGTCTCAGTGAGGAAAGAATTCAATGTTGAGGCCAGAGTTAAGTAGAAGAGCAAGAATTTTTGTCAGAGGACCTCCCCACTGGTACAGAGGCTTGAGCGCCGCCCTGTGAAGCTGTCTGCAGGCTCTTCAGCGTGGGTTCAATTCCTGGCCAATGGGCGAGAATCCCACATGGCGCGGCAGACCTCTCCTGTTTTGCTGCGCCCCTCAGCAGTGTCTTTGGTCCGTCTGCCTGTTCTGCTCCCCGCTCTGTCTCTGGTGAGATCTCTCACCCTCCTGCGGCTCTGAGTGTACCCCAGTTCTTGTATAAATAAATAAATCTTTTTTTTAAAAAAAGAAGTTTTTGTCAGATAAGGACAGGGAAGCTTTCTGCGCAGAGAGGGTTCCTGAGCAGGTAGCTCCTAGAGGGCAGAAAGTATGGATTTATATACTTTATTTGAAATAAAGGGGGTTAGTGATTTTTTTGGGGGGGGTGGTGGAATGTTGTCATCTTGGACAGATTCTTACCTAGTTGATTCTGACCATCTGTGGAGTCCAGGAGTTGGGACCTCCTTGGCTGGAGGATATCTTTTTCCTGGAATGTGCATATGGGGCTGACATAGGATCACACAGATGTTGCTTTATGGGATGGGGCAGCCTTCAGAATGTCCTTTATTTTAGCATATTTCTGAATGCTGTCTCAAGGCCGTGGGGCAGCTTCCAGAATGGCCTGTTTTCAGCATGTTTCAGAATGCTGTGGTAAGGCCAGGACCCTAATAGTCTTACTAAACTGACTGCCCATATTACTTACTCCTTCAAAAGGACTT